GTGTGTGTGTGTGTGTGTGTGTGTTTGTCCGCTCACGTTCATCATTTGTGAACGGATTCGCTCGGTTCAGTGTTCACAAAGAATATGAACAAACTGTCAACAACGTCTGTGAACTCTCGTCAACTCTCGGGGACTCTTCTCTTTCTTTCTCTCTCTCATGCTCTCTGAGTCTCTTCATTCCTCTGGATACAAAAACATGCATGCGTGCAGGAGAGGTTTCTGCAAGGGCGGGGGTGTGAGCAGTCTGCTGAGGGGGGGAGGAGGAGGGAGAGAGTGGGTGAAGCGAAACTCAGAGAGAATTTCATGTGGCCTAAAAGATTCACGTGGCAATTGTCACTCGATGGTGGCGATATAGTCATTTTATACATCGCACGTGGTAGAAGCGGCCAAACATCGAGTATGTTCGATGCATCGCCCCCCAATTAATCTAAACAGGGGCACTTGTTCTCACAGCTGACTCAATGAATCACAGTGTATGATCGGGTGGATGTTGTGCTGAAGTAAATACACATTTCCATTTAGTAAAAATAGATTTGACTCCACTTTTCACTTTGTAGTTAAGTCTCATTCCAGTGTGTGCAACACAGTTGTTTTTGATTAAGATTGTTTTTTCTCAGATGTGTGTTAACAATATGAGAGACTATGCTTCAAAGAATCCCCTGCCCAAGGCAAATTCTTCTATGAACCTGAAAAGACACTTTGAAAAAGGCAATAAAATATTTCATTGAGAACTTTCCATTCATGGATGTGTTTGATTTGTAAACTGCTATAGAGCGAAAAACAAACATGCCCTGGTTCAACTTTTGAGACACCTCCTCTTCTTCTCATCATCTGATTATGACCCACTTTGGTAAGACAAGGCACTTGAGGTACTTCCAACTGGCACTTGTGATAAGATCTCACTTCCCCTGCTATATGCAAAACAAAACATTTACGTATTAGTGATTGCAAATGATATTGTTTTTACCCAGTCTGAATTTGTGTGTGTCTGCTGTCACTGTGCTTGTTAATGTGTGTCAGCATGAGCAAGCGACCAAGATCAGTAATATTAAACAGCGCGACATATTAATTTACCTGATCTTTTGTATGTTGTCTGTGAACTGCTGCATGATTCCCCGAACAAAGACTGAGTCGATGGTCGAACAGTTTCAGGAAGAAGCTGAAACTATCATCCTCCAGCAGCCTCACAAACCCTCCAGCTTCTCTCACAGTGGTAGGATCAAACTCTCCTGACTCCCTGCTGGTTTCAAAACACTGGAGCTGTTCTTCTTTGTGCTCAAAAACAGTGTTCACAGCTGGACTGTGGAAGTTCCACCTCACTGTGCTTGCTCTTGGGAGTCTGTGGGCCACCACTCTATCGAGCATGCTGGTTCTCTTTGGACATCTTGAAAAAAAGCCAGAGCATCCAGCCAGGTCTGAGAAGAATTTACTCACTTTTGAGATATGGGAAGTCACCTGCTGCATGATAAGGTTAAGTTGGTGAGCATAGCAGTGGACATAGTGTGCATTTACATAGAGATCTTGGATCTTCTTCTGTACACCACCTGTGGTTCCTCTCATGACACTTGCACCATCGTATGCTTGGGAAATGAGCTTGCTCTTCTGGTCATCAGGGAGGAAGGAGCTCAACCTATCCAGAAGTGCTGTGGCGATGGAATCAGCTGTGGCACTTTGGAGAGGTATGAGCTCAAAAAACCTCTCTTGGACATGATGGGCTTTGTGGATCACAAGCACCAGCTGACACTGAGTGGAAATGTCCATTGTTTCATCCGCCTGGATGGAGACAAAGTCTGCAGTCCTGATTTCTCCAATGATGATGATGATGATGCAGTCAAGGAGTTCATTCTGTACAGTCTTAGATGTTCCCTTAAACACAGTGGCAGTCTGCAGGTGCTCATGCAGAACTGCATCCAGTGATGCTGCAAAATCCACCAATCCTCCAAAAACACCAGGATTTTCTGAGCTTTCACTTTCATCATGGCCGTGCAGGCCAAGTTGAACCACAGAACTTGACACAGTCTTTTTGATAGAATGTGCCAGTTTTTGTCAACCTCCTCGTTGTGCTTATGGATCCCTACCCTGTAGCCTTCATCAAGCTGAGATGAAATGTTTATTTTCCCAAACATGGCTAGTCACAGTGCATTTTCCATGTGGATCCCAGATTGTTCATGCTTCTTTGCCTTTTCTGAAAAGTGCTTTAAATCAGTCACACCTGTCTCAATCCATATAACCCACCCTGTGGCTGAACGATTCCTAGGGGAAACACTGTTTGTGGTAATTCATCCAGCAGTTATTGCACAAATAGACAGGGGTAAAAACATAACCTCATTAGCGGAGGTAATAATGTAACAAAACTTTGGTGTAACTTGCCTGACATTGCTTGGTTCCACAAAGCCAGGATAGTCCCCTGAAGAGGGTTAAACAGTTACTTTATAGTTACTACACATATTGTTATGTAGTCTAATATGTACATCAGATAATAATTGGTAACTCGGAGGGAAAAATTTGCAATATCTACTTTGCTATTCCAAGTTATTAGGAACAATATTTGCATTGCGTAGTGTCACTGAGTGTGGATCACACTGAGCTGAAATGCACTTGCCATAAATACTTGCAAATTTGCCAAATTATGCCACCCAAAGAAATAATTATCTGCTGGGAGGATGGCTTTCAAATATAAGTTGAGTATTTATGCAGTAGAAAGATCAAAAAACATCAAAACTGGTGAAACATTATCGGAGAAAACAGGTAGAAATACTGCAACAGCCAGAATGCACTCTGCACTCTCGGGCCTCCCCTATCTAATAGGCTTGTATGTAAATGGTGGAGCCGGACCAAGAAGAAGTTTGTAGACAACCTCTGCTTGTTAAAGCAACCTTTTACTTGCATGGTTTTGAAGTGCATCATGGAGTGGAATTCCATCCACCATGGATATTGTTGATTTTGTTTATTTAACTTTAGCTATGTGTGTGTGTGTGTGTGTGTGTGTGTGTGTGTGTGTGCGGGCACGTTGTCTTGCTGTAAATGTGTTCCTCACAGGATTGTTGTTTGTGGGTGTTGTTGAATTTACTTTGTGCTCTGACGTCCGTTTCTCTCAGCTGCAACACAGTTTCCACTGGTGCACATTTTCCACAGTGGCACCTCCAATTGACCCCAGTATGAGGCACACACACACACACACACACACACACACACACACACACACACACACACACACAAGAGTTTGTTTTAGAGAAGAACGACAGAAGCACAAGAGATCAAGGAAATATAGCACATATCCATTAGGAGGCAGTAGAGCTGCAGTATCAGAGAGTTATTCCTCAGGAGTGGGGAGGGTATCTCTTCACTGGGATAATGCGTGTGGACCATACAGTCTATGGTGTGGACGCGCTGCATTAATGCTGAACTACAAGAGGCTTTGAGACAGGCTCAGGACATAACATGGATATCTCTCTCACCAAAACTGTTTATTGTGGGAATGGAGGTAGGAGGGTAAACATTATATTTTTTACTATATTTACACATGTGTTTTTATGGAAGGTTAAATTAGATTAGCTAGAATTTATATTCATATATATATTATCATATTAATACAGTTTTTATTTTTGTCTGAATGCTGCTGCAAATTTAATTAGATCTGATTCAATGGATTGTTTTATACAGGAAGTCTTGACGGTGTTATTTTTGTAGCGCGAAAAGTAGTGAAGCAAGAAAGAACTACAGGAAGCAGTAGTTTCACACATTGTGGATGCACAAATGTATCTTACACAATCTTAATTTTGCAGAATGTTATTGCGGCATCCATCACTCCACATCGGCTTTTAAAAGATCCTGTTCAGAGATATGGCTGTACTTACTTTTTCCACTAAACTTACTTTTCTGTAATTTATTCCAATGACGAAATTGGTCAGAGATGAAAGTACTCCTTCAACTTCCTCTTAAAGTTACCACTCAAATTGTGATATGCACAATAATTTTGTGGAAAAGTAAGCTCAGGTAGTTTGAGACAAATGTATACACAGACTTGATTTTATAATTTAGTTGTGACCAAGCTCCTTCAAGTGTCATCTTAAACATAGACACACGCACAGTTTTAATAAACAGACGAGATGGCTGCAATCTAGTGAGATCTTAAAATAAACCATATGACTGCTGTTCACCACATGTTCAGGAGTATTAGTAAACCACTGCACAAGACTGTGTTAGAGTTGAAATGTGGAAATTCTATCTTAAACTTCACATTTTGTGAATAGTCCCATTTGCACATTGTTTTTATCGACAGTTTTTTTATGAAAGCTGTGATCTGTAGTTATGCTCACTGGAGCAAAGAGGGTTTGTTATGCTTCATCGCCCATGTGTGTTGTTTGAGGTCTCACCAGGTGTGTATTCAGGCTTGTGTGTTCATTTGCAACTTCACTGTGTTGTGTAATTAAAAAAAATAGATTGAGTCCCAGTAGTAGTCCCAGTGGAAGCTGCAGCCATTCTCTCAGCTCCACTGTGATGTCTGAACACACAAGGCAAATGGACTGATTTAAAACCCACACCACATCAGTGTGTTTATGTGGGTTTTCTTCCCCTGGCATCCAGATGTGCCAAAACACAATATCAGACAGCAGCCAAGGTAACAACAGGTCACAATGCCAGTTGTGCAGACACATTTCTAGGATTTTGTCTTTGATTTGAGGATTACTTTGTTGACAAAAATTTAAAAAAAATCAGATTCATATGCTTTTAACCTGCACGAACAAGGTTATGCTTTCATCTGCATTTTCATTGTCCACATTTCTGTTAAAAGGGGCAGTCTGAAAGATTGCTAAGGCTCTTATTGCAAAGAACAGGATATAATCCTCATATCTGAGTTATGTTAACTGTGTAGTGAGCCTAAAATAAATGTGACAAATAATAAGAAATAAGAAAAGACATTAATGGGGGAATATTACTGTACTTTCATTTATCAACAGGAAATTCAAGGGAGTGGCACAGTGGTCAATAAAGTAGTCAAAGTGAAAGTGAAGCTAAAACAGGACATGAGACAGATGGGATAAATAATGTGTTGTCTCCAGGATGGAAAACTACTGAGAGACAAAGTTTCAGAGTGATGCCAAAGTCTCCAGTTTTCTCATGAACATGTGATTCACAACTGCAATATAAATTCAATCTGTTGTTTGAGAGATTAGTTTGATTACTATGCACAGGATATACAATGTTTGTTGGTATGGTAACATTTACATTGTTACAGATAGATTCATATTGTTAACTATTCATGCATTAGAGTAGTAGTGTTGTGACATCCCAGATTTATTTATTTTAATAATCAAAGTTGTTAACATATATATCAGATATTGGATAGTTGAAAACTGATTTCAGCTTTAGAAGACTATACAAAAAGATTGCCTGAAAAAACCTATGCATATACAGCATACACAATTAATACATCAAATCAGTTTAACATCTTTTTTTATTATTAAACTTTTCATTTCTGTGCAGAGGCAGTGTGAAAGATCCCCCCGTCTGCCACCCCCTCCTCTTCATCATCTTCTCTCTTCCCCTTCAGTACAGCTCTCAGTTGTTTCATTGTGTAAACGGAGAAAACATCAGTCTCCTGCAAAAGCATTTTCCCTTTTATCAGTCTGAGTCTGTTTGCTAGTGTTAGCCTGTATTTGGGTCCCTCAAGGTTCCGTCCTGGGTACTCTCCTCTCCTCTCTGTACACCAATAAACTTTCTTGGCTCTGTCATTCACTCATATGGCTTTTCCTACCAGCTAGCTATGCAGATGACACCCAACTAATTATCTCTTTTCCTCAATCTGAAACACAGGGAGCAACAGGAATCTCTGCCTGTCTGACTGACATCTCTCAGTGGATGTCCGCACACTACCTGAAAATCAGTTTACTCACGCTCCTCTGCTCCCTTCACTGGTTACCAGTTGTTGCCCGCATCAGCTTGAAGACATTAGTACTTGCGAACGGATCGGGCCCAGTCTACATCAAGGACATGCCCTTCCACTCCGCTCTGCATCCGCCAGTCGGCTTGTTGCTCCCTCACTACGAGCTAGCCACTCAACAAAATCCCGACTGTTTGCTGTCCTGGCTCCCAAATGGTGAAACAAGCTCTCCATTGACATCAGGACAGGCTAGAGACAGATCTCTTCCAACTACACTTTGGTTAAGAAGATAATGTACTTACATGATTTTTGCTGTTCTGGCTTTGTACACTTGTAATGCACTTGTAATGCACTTATTGTAAGAAATGTTATGTAATGTACTAGCATTCAGCTAACCTAACATCAGTAACAAAACACTACCATGGCACTGTAACATATTTTCTACAAGTAAACTATGTAATTCAATTCAATTCAGTTTTATTTGTATAGCACCAAATCATAATATACATTATCTCAAGACACTTAAAATCGTATTAATATAGAGTAACCCAACAGTTCCCACCATGAGCCAGCACTTTGGCGACTGTGGAGAGAAAAAACTCCCTCATCACTATCCCCTACTTTTATATATGAAATACACGGGTAACGTTTATGAAGCATTTCGTTAGTTCATGCAGGACACAGAGTCACATGCTCAGCTGTCATACAGTGTCAGCTACTGATTTATGGGTTTATGGGTGCTTGTCAAGTTACTCACCAATACCAGCCCATTTTCACAAAGTGGTCCCTTTAAATACGGCCTCCTCCTCACTGATCTCTGCTCAACTACACTGCCACCCACACCCTGCTGCTAGCAGATTTGCCTCCACCACTGCTTGGCTAATCCAGGGAACATCCAAAGAATGGAGCCTTCAGCGCCAAGCATAACTGTATTCCTATTTATGCAATAAATGGGTTAATCATGACAAAGTGTTCTTGACTGAACTAAATATATCGATCTATAGACTCATCATCAGTGGAGAGAAGTCACCTCGGTGAGGTCGTCCAGCCTTTTGACGCATAAGGGCCACCTTAGCGCTCCTCTTGCTCGGGGGGGGCACTCAGTTTGTTGCAATTTTACACACTTACACACCTCTTATGAGTAGAATTACCCAAAAACTGGACTTGACCTATTACCATGCAACTCGTTGGAAAGATGCGTGAGGCTGCAGATCAGAGAGGAACTCATTAAATTTTGGTCGGGATTCAGATCAGTGAGACGTGCGGTGGACTGGTATTTATGAGTTTGTAATTTGGTGTAGATCCAACAAAGATCTGTGTCTCGTGAATTTTAATGTGTGCTCTCTGTGTGCCATTCTAATTACTTAACAGAACTACAAAATGTGGTGTCTTATATAAAATGATTGATACATATACCTTTATTTCTTCCCTCTGTCTCTGCTCTTTTTAGGATTATGAAGTACGCCTTTTGCCACCTCTACAACCTTACCTGAAGAGCCTTCAGAAATATTCAGCAGCACTGTGGACACATGGAGTACACCATACCAGCAAAGAATAGATAGATTCTGAGAGAAGCGTGGCAGAGTGCTGACCACAAGAAATTCACCCTGAGCCTCAGCTGATTCAACTTGACCTTTTTTATGTTGTGGTCATAAACATATTACTCTGTCTACCACATTCAAAGGCCTCCCACGTTTATCCTCCATCTGTGCCCCAGGAATCTCACACTGCCTTCAAAAGGGCAATGCCAATCTTGCTTAATGCCGACGCATCCTTCAGCTCCAGGCAGGAGCTCCTGGACCTAAAGGAGTGCCCTGTCAGCGGGGGTCCCTCTCTGGACACCCCCAGTCCAGTGGACTCCAAGACAGGTAGCCCCACAGTTGCTCATGGTCCCATCCAGCCTGATATTTTTACTGGGGCTTCCACAGTCCCCGGGCAGCTATATGGGGTGGAGGCCACACCGTTTACAGAGGCACCCGTGGGATTAAAGCTAAGCTCCACTGATGTGGATCAGCTATGTGGCTGGGGGGCTGTGACCCCCAAATTCATTCAAGTTTTCAACACCTCTCGTTGGGTACTGTTTTTCCTCTGTGCCGCTAGTTTCCTCCAGGGGATGATAGTCAACGGCCTCATTAACACAGTGATCACAACAATTGAGAAGCGATATGACTTGCACAGCTACCAGTCTGGCCTCATTGCCAGCTCCTACGACATTGCTGCCTGCATTTGTCTGGCCTTCGTCAGTTACTTTGGCGGGACGGGGCACAAGCCTCGCTGGCTGGGATGGGGGGTGCTGATCATGGCAATGGGTTCCCTGGTGTTTTCCCTGCCTTACTTCACCACACCTCTCTACGAGGTCAGTGTGCCCCAACAAACAGGAATGTGCTCTGCCAACCGTACCAGCCCATGCCAGGACGAGCAGGGTGGAGGATTGTCCAACTATCGGTTTGTGTTCATGCTGAGCCAGTTTCTACACGGAGTGGGAGCTACACCTCTCTACACATTAGGGGTCACGTACCTGGATGAGAATGTCCAGTCCAACTATGCGCCTGTGTATATGGGTGAGTCACATGAGTAATTCATTCAGCAGAGCATGTTTTCATTGGATTGTTTGTACCAAATATTTTAAAGGTCCAGTGTGTAAGATTTAGGTGAAAGGGATCTATTGGTAGAAATTTCATGTAGAATAATCCTCATGATGTTTTCACTAGTTTGTTTCATCTAAGTTGTATGAATTATAGTTTTCTTTAGTCCAGAAAAGGCCCTTTATATTTAAATACTTTCTATTTACATCAAGGGGACCCTCTCTGCGGAGGCCACCATGTTTTTTACAGTAGTCCAGACAAACAAACAAAGGAGGGTGAGGTGAGGGGTGTTTAGCTTCAACATGCAATTTCAACACTAGATATCACAAAATTCTACACACTGGACCTTTAAAACAGAACTAACAACAATGATGACTTGAATTATTTTTGTCTCTGCTGCAACATGAGGATTTTTTTGTCATTTTAAAAGTGAAATAACTATTTAAAAGAATCTGATTTTCAAATCACAAGAGTTGTGATAATTATTACTTAAATATTTAACTGTTGTATAAAAACTCTTCTGAGTGAAATTTTAATTTGTGACACAAAAACTGTCACAGGCAGACGTACTTAGCTGTAGCTACAACAGAAAAGAAACTTTAGCCTGTTTAATTCAAAGGATAGTTCACCCAGGAATGAAAATTCACTCATCATCTGCTCACCACTTTGTTGATGGAGGGGTAGATGAAGTGTTTGTCTGGGTGAACTATCCCTTTAATATGTTCTATGCAGGTTGAGATGTGATTATTATTGCCAATAAGCACCCATCCTTCAACCACCAGAGGATCATGACCTCTGGCTAAGAACCACACATCTTTACATCTTTTTTATGGTTGAATGTGTAAATTGATTGTATGTGTGCAGTGGCACTTTCCCTCACGGATTAGATAGAGTGCTTTTCTGTTTCTCCCATGACACAATACATAGTACAATGACTATATGTAGCAGCAACCATACCGAGTACAATCACAAATGAGTTGTTCTCTCTCTTACTGACAGTTAGAGGAAGGAGCTCATTGGGTGTATTTAACTAATTGGGTCTTGTGTGTGCTCATAAACACAGAGGGGAAAACTACTGACTGTCTCCTTAACCGTCACCAACAAGGTGCCATTTCATGGTTTTGAAATCACCAGAGACATCTGTAGTTTTCCCTTTTCACCTGTCATCATCATCATCAATCTTCATACATCAGCATACTCTCTCAACAGCTGTAGTTCAAAACATGCCTAAATGGCACTTTGGCCCGTTTGCCCCATTTCAAGTATATAGCAGCACAGTACAGTGTGACTAAAGTAAATACTTACACCAAAACACACAAACTCAGTTTCACACTTCAAACTCCAATTTTTTTCATGAAACATGAACTTTGTAGATACAGAGTGTGCAAAAAAACAATGGGTCCTTCCTGTAGGACAGCTAACAGGAAGTAGACAGTTACTGTACGGATACACCCATGGCCCGACTCATTGGTCTCTCTCTCTCTCTCTCTCTCTCTCTCTCTCCCTCCCTCTCTCTCTCTCTCTCTCTTGCTGTCCCTCTTTGCAGGAATCTTCTACACCGCAAGTATTTTGGGTCCTGCCGCAGGCTATCTGCTGGGTGGTTACTTCCTGAAAATCTACACAGAGATCCACCTGATGTGAGTCTGCTGTCGGTCGCAGACTGAACTAGAAAAGCATTTAGTATAACAGTGGTGCTGACAAAAAGTAAAATAATAAAAAAGAATACTAAAATGTTTAAATATTTCTTATAGCAACAATTTAAAGGGGACTTGAGAAGCGTTGGTTGTTGGAAAATAAAACATGGTTGGTATAACGTATGATTTGTGTTCGATATTAGTAATTCTATCTTTTCTTTTGAACAGTGAATTAAAAATAACACAATCCAGCATTTTTAAATGATCTTACAATTAATATTTCAGTTGTTTCTATTGGTTGATCACTGCAGCCGAGGTCTTATTTTAATTAGATATTACATGAAACACAAATCATGACCTTAACTTACTATAAGTTGATCTACATGTTTTCAGTTTAATCCTGTGACCACTCAGAAATCCGTCATCGGGACAAACTGCAACTGCACAAAAATATACAAACAGATGATGAGTAACTTGAGTTTATTTGGAAGATTTCTTACATTCACTGCTGAACCAACAACATCTTGAACCTTAGACGACTGATATTCCCAAACACACGGAACGCAAATGGAAAGGAACTATAAAGATCATAAAAACAACAGACAAAGGGAAAGTTCACTAACACAGAATAAACCTAAAACAAAGAGAACAGGTCAGTGATGTAAAGACGCAAAGAATACTTCTGCAGCGTCAGTGGTTAAAGGTACAGTGTGTAGAATTTAGTGATATCTAGTGTTTAAATTTCATGCTGCCAACAGTTCCCTCTCACCTAAATCTTACACACTGGACCTTTAAATCATACAGATTTAGAAAAAAATAAAATCCCCAAAATCAAAATCGACACTGTAAACATCCAATTTATTCCCATAAAAAAGTAAATACTCTAAAAGTACAAAGTAAATGAAGTCAATATTGTTGAGCAGGGACCAGCAGGTACTGCTCTGTGTCACCGTCAGGAGCCATTTTCTTTCTTGGTTTGAGAAAACACGACTTTCAAAGATATCCGCCTGTAACAAAACAGCAAATCCTCNCACACACACACACACACACTCCCTTTCTCCCTTGCTCTCTTACAGTGAAGTAGGGTGATAGCAGTCATATTAAGGAGTTTCTCTCATTTCATTCTTTATCTTATCTTATTTTGAGAGCATCGTTTACTCATTTCAGATTTTTTTATGTTTTCCCTCAAACTTGCCCTCACTCTCAAGCTCTTGCTCAAGCAGAGAACTGTTTGTCTGCTCTCAGGTAAGCTGTGGCTGTCCTGGGCTTCAGTTTAAGTACTTCTTGTCACTGCTTGTGTCCGTTTGCCTAACTTCTACTCTCCGGAATGTTTGTGAAATGGTCTAAGAATTCCCCGACCAACATAATGCAAGTAAAAGTAAAAGTGCCAACAAACAGTTTTGAGCAAAAGCAGAGCAAATCTACATGTGGGCGGGGGCTATTTGAGGACAAGGTTTTCAGTTAACACATTACAGTAACTGAACATGTTATAAAGAAGCAATGCTCCCAAAATGAAAGCTGCTTGAATAAAAAAAGGAAATAAACTTAATATTAATGTACTTGATTGTTCAGTTTCAACTTGTCATTTATTTACTCTGACTCTTCCTGCAGGATCTCAGAAGTACATGGCCATGCGGGTGTCTGAGGCCCACCAGATTAAGGATGGAAGCCACAGCAGAGCGTCAGACCCTCAGTTTGGCAAATCAGTCAAAGACATGCCAAGGTAAAAGACTTACCTCCATAACCTCCATAGAGGGCAGTAGACACATTTTAGGTATAGTGTAGATGGGTTTTTATTTGGTCGTGAGAGCTTTAGCTTTTTTGTGCCATAAAGTGCACATGAAATAGAGTCCTCCATGAGATATTTATTACTGCTACTGCCACTGCAACCGCTGCAACTGCTCATCCTGTCAGTAAACGGGCCAAGCTACAATCAGTAACGTCTTGTGGTTTCGAGAATGCCTGCATTGACTTCATGTCTCTCTATCTTTGAATCTCCTTGACAATTTGAAATCTGTTGACAAACTCATGTTGACAAACTGAAATGTTTCCACCATCTGCATCTGGCAAGATCTGTTGAATGAAGAGTGGACTGTGGTCTCTCTGTATGTTTAATTCAGCATCTGCAGATGGACTTGCAACACATTCAAATACATTAGATGTGCAAATGAGCAGAGGAAATTACAGCAGAGGTTTTTTACCAGCTGGTTGAGTCAGATTATCTAATTCTGAGTTACACGATGTCAACACAGATGATGAAAAGCAACTGAAATCAGTTTTCAACTGCCCAGTTGTGGCAACACCGCAGACGTTTACACAATGCATGCAACATTTAGCCTTATTTTAATGGTGTAAAGCAATGACCTATATACAGCAAATCTCTCTTAATCACCAGCATCATTTCTAAATGCACAAAATGCCCATATGAAAGCTGCCATTGTAGTGATGTGTAAACTGAACCCCTGTTTATTGTGAATGAACTGAGTGCGCAGACAGACAACACACACACAGCTCATTTCTGATAACTCCTGTTTGTCTATTCTTCACATCAACAGATTCAAATACCAAAGGACACATTTGTCACCCTCTCTGTCAGGCATGTCACTGTCAGCTTACTACTGTGTTTACTCTGAGCTCATCATCCACAGTGTGATGTCATCTCTTAAAATCTGGGGATACCAGGCCATAAACACGGCACATGATGCAACATGATGATGATTTATCTTTGGATCTCGTGCTCTATTAGACACGTCTCCAGAGTGGACTGTTTAATTAAATATCAATCAATCTATCAATCAATCAAATTTGATTTGTATAGCCTATATTCACAAATCACAATTTGTCTCAAAGGGCTTTAACAAGGTGTGATATCCTCTGCCCTTAACCCTCAGCAAGAGTGAGGAAAAACTAGCAAAAACCCTTTTGACAGGTGAAAAAAAAAAGGAAGTAAAAGTTCATTCAGTGGTGCTCAAACTGTTGCCTCTTACCCTCTCTCCCTCCACAGATCGGTGCTGCTGCTCTTAATGAATCCCACTTTCCTGTTCCTGTGCTTGGCTGGAGCCACTGAGGCCATCATCATCACTGGCATGTCCACCTTTAGTCCAAAGTACTTGGAGTCTCAGTTCAATCTCAGTGCCTCAGAGGCTGCTTCGTTGTTTGGTAAGTGACAGATAAAGTTGTAAAATCAAGTGCAAACTTCCAATCAGAGAACCTCAGACTTTAGAACTCTCAACTGTCCCTTTGGAGATGTTGGAGACATCAAACACATAGACACATAGTTAGCTGTTGTATTCAGCTGTAAGGTTTTGGGGGTTGGCTATTCGATCATTTATTTGTATTCCAGAAAATGATTTTGGTAACAGTCAGTGGCAGGAGGCATTATGTTTTCTCTAAAACACCTCGATGGAATTTCTTCAAATTTGTTTGAACTGTTCAGTGGGTTTGATGGATGATGACTTTACATCTTAGTGGTTAAAGGTCAAACTGCTTTTGTTCTTGGAATGAAAACATTTTAGGAACACCTTGAGGAAATGTCCACAAATTGAGTTAAAAATGTCACTTTGATGCAAAGATGAGTTTACTACATTTTTGTGGTCAAAGGTCAAAGTCATGGTGATCATTATGTTCTTGTGAACATGATATATCAGTAACATCGGGCGCAAACATTCACTTGGAATCAAAATGACCTGAGTAGAATTTTGGGGTCAAAGGTCAAGGTGACCTCACAAAATCCTTGTTTACCTAAAAGTGTTTAAAAAAACACGTTGAGAGAATCAAATCTGGCACACTCACAGATTCACTGATTTTGTCATTATCATGACATTCATAATTTATTACTTGAAATTATTCTTAATTCTTCCTGTTCTGGCCTTTGAGTGAGACAGCAGCCTGACAGCGTGGGTCTTTATTCTCTTTCCCCTCCCCAGGATACATGGTGGTACCAGCGGGAGGTGGTGGCACCTTCCTGGGCGGCTACATTGTGAAGAGGCTTAAGCTGCGCTGTAGAGGCATCATTAACTTCTGCATAATGTGCACAGCGTTGAGCCTGCTCACTGTCTTCATCTTTCTCATCCACTGCCCAAACATGCCAATGGCTGGTGTCAATGCACCGTACCATGTTGATCTGATGGAGCAACACCAACTGGACCAGTTTAAACCCAACAAGCTGCCCCATAGTAACAGGTGAACACTGTTTATTTATGTTCAGCCATTTCACCGAATTGATATAAAAAGTAATCATAAGTTTCATTTCCGAGACTTCCTGATGTAGTTTCAATCATGCTCACATTTTCAGTTGTGACTATTTGTTATCACAGTGCAAAAATCATTCACAAGCACCTTCATACCAACTAATGACTTGTTTGCCGTCTCTCCCTGTTTGTATGTATCTTATGCTGTTATGCTCCCCCCTTCATCCTTGTCACTTCTGTCTCTCCTTCCCTTCATGTCTGCAGCTCTTCTATCGAGGAGACCCTGATAGTGGGCTGCAATGCAGACTGTGGCTGTGTCAGGGAGCTGTATAACCCTGTGTGTGGGGCAAACGATGTGATGTATTATTCCCCCTGCCACGCTGGCTGCAACTCCATCAACCACACTCAACACTCCACTGGCAGAGTGGTACAGTACTCACAGTGCTCATGTCATATTATTTGTGTAAAGACAGGATTCATCTGAGGCAGGCTGGACAGAATCAAACAGCCAACAAGAAAAAATATATGTTGGATATTGTCTGTTGGATATCCAGGATGAAACTCCCAAGAAGTATAAATCACCAGGGGCCTCATTTATAACTGTTGCGTAGGCATCTTTCAGCACCTCTCAAGCAAATGTTGGGACTCTTTAAGAAAAAAACTTGGCGGGAGAATGTATTTGCTTTTATGCAACCTTTATCCGTTGTGTACAAACATTTTAGTGACAGGAAAATGGTGATGCAGATGTGAGCAGGTGAATTGAAGAAGATTATAGATCCACTTCATCATTAACATTAAATCTAACAGTGTTATTTGTGCTCGCGCAACATAAGAAACTAAGATATAAAACAACTTAAAGTAAATTATGGTAAAATTGCAAAAAATAACAGTTACAGAAGCAAGTTTTAATAACACCTTCTATAACACTGGGCCAATATCACGAGTAAGACTGTAGTTTTCATATAGTGTGCGTGCTTGTGTGTGTCTTCCTGTACTTGTATCTCAGTGAGAACCACTTTAAGCATAGACCCTACAGAGTGAGGACATTTTCGCCAGTCCTCACTTCTTCAAAGAGCTGTTTGGTTTTAGGGTTATGGTAAGAATTAGGTTTATGTTAGGGTTAGGCATTTAGTTTTGATGGTTAGGGTAAAGCGCTAGTGTCTGTGTATCTGCTCATGGTGTGTGTGTTTTCAGGTGTATTCTGGATGTAGCTGTGTGGTGGGGAACGTGTCCTGGGGCAAGGCAGGCTTTGCTCTGGCAGGGAAGTGTGGCAGCTCCTGCCACCACATGCCGGTCCTCCTGGCCTTCCTCTTCTTCATCATCTTCTTTACGTTCCTCTGTAGCATCCCAGCGCTCACCGCTACACTCAGGTAATTGGCCACATTGAAATATTTTAAAAAGAAGGTGTCTAAAGTGTAGATTCAAGCTGTAGCCAGCCTTGTAAGATTCATTAAAAAGGACCTCTCCTTCAGTCTATTATTATTACTCATTAGAACCTATTTTTATAGTACTACTTTTATAAATATTAATATTAAAGATAATTATAAATATATTTATAATTATCTTTTTTTTGGAAAATGAGAACACATCCTCCTTACACTTACTGGAAATGACACCATCTAAAAGTGGAGACAAAACACTTGGATTGCCCCCTGGTGGCTGGCTTGCTGAAGAATAGGTTAATAAACCTTGCCTCTTCCATGTTACCAGATGGGATATTAGTAGTAGTAGTTCTTATCACACTGATGCATATTTAAATTAGTTATTTAATGCTATAAAAATAGGGTGAAGCGTCATGATACATAGCTGAGACTGACTGACGATTGGTCAAGCTTGTGTATTGGCAGAACCTGGTTACCACAGCTCGATCCCGAAAGCCTTAAACTTGCATGAAATGGCACCAAACCAAGCTAGTGGGTCATCTAACCGGCCAGTGGTCAGCGTCAGGTAGCACTAGAAACGACATCCAGACACAGCTCCTGGAGAAAACGGTGAAAACCCAGAGCTGTGTGCGCCTCCAGATGATCTTATGGACACACACACACACATACACACACACACAGCATTACCACAACATGTACAATGGCGTAATTTGAGATACCTCATGGTATGCCGAATGTCATGGGTCAGAGTTCAAGATCAAGTTTTCAAGCCTATGTTTAATTTGCACCCTCTCTTGGAAGTGCATGGGAGGCAAAGGTTAGCCACTGCTACATTGGCAAGGGTGTGACCGTGTCCTTACTTGTACTGGTAACACAAGTAAACACAAAGGGTTCTGCGGCCAAGCAGCTAAAGATGGCTGCACTGGTTTGGTTTCATTTTTTACAGTGGGAGAAAGTGGACACATATTGTTCATCTGTATTTAAAGTCTTTAGTCTGATCCAGAGCCACTGCAATAATTATATTTTCAGATTTTAAAAAAACATAATGATGATGAACCACTGACGGAGTTCCTGTCAAATGGGAGGCCTGTGTTTAATCTGAGGGCAATGAATTTCCTTAATCAAACACTATTAAAGCAGGATAACAAAACCTTACCTTGCTGTAAATAAAGGCTATAAAGGAGACAAGTGCTGAGAGATTGGTAAAACAGTTGATCTCTAATAACAATATTTCATGAGGGACTTTGCCAGATGACCTAGTGTATGTTGTAGGAAGAGGCCGAAAGCCATAGGGTGTTACTGTCAAGACAAACTGTCAAACTGTTTTGTAATGAAGTCTGATGCACAGTGTGCTTACATGTCTGACCAACACTGTGCTGTGTAGGTGTGTACCAGACAACCAGAGATCCTTTGCACTTGGAATCCAGTGGATTGTTATGCGGGTATTTGGTAAGTGAACTGGTTTGTGTTGAGTTAAATTTACAGGCAAAGTGCTAAAAGGAGACATACAATGCTTTTTCAGTATGTTCTTTCCTCTAGTGGGTTATGAAGAGCAAAAACAGTGATATAGTGGCTTTAGTTCTGGAAGTAAATGTCCCATTCATTTTCCCAAATTACGTTTCACAAAATCTTTTAAGAGTTCCAGGCTTAAAGAGTTTTAAAAATTGCAGTATATTTGAAATAGAAAATCATGGTTGCGCCTGCAAATGTTGTGCTGAACAATACAATTGAAGCTGCCATGAATTGTAAGATTGACCGATCACACCACAGTGGATCAGTTGGCCAATCACAGGATACTGAGCTTTCTCATCAGGGAGACTGTAAAGAGACAGTAGTAACCAGAATGAAAGTCGTGAACTTGGAAACGAGCATAACATCCTCTTTTAACCTCATCCAATCTATGTTGTATTGTTCACAGGAAGTATTCCAGGACCCATACTATTTGGCTCTGTGATTGACATCTCCTGCTTACTGTGGCAGAATCAGTGCGGTGAGCGGGGCTCCTGTTACCTCTATCAGAACTCAGAGATGAGCCACTACATACTAGGAGCTGGTATTATCTGTAAGGTAATGCTTTATTTATTACCTCTGCCAAGGGTGTTTTCATGGCTGGTTGTTACGCAAAAAACGACTTAACTGATTTTCTTGAAATTAAGTGGATGGGTGTTGCATGACCAAAGTAAAAACTCCTCTGGAGCAGATCCAGATGATTGGGCTGATCCAGGACTTTCTTTCTTTAACATGGAGAGATAGGACCATCGCGGAAGTATGAACTCCCAGAGCTTCCTTCTGCTTTAATTTACCATGGTCACTGGTTCTATTAAGTCATAGAACATTAATTTTGTGTACTGGAAAATAATTGCTAGAAGGGGAAGATTTTTCTGCTTCTCTTTATAATACATGTTTTCCGCATTCTCTTAACAGAACGTATTCTCAGAGTTGTGTACTTACATGTTCCTACATGTTTCTGTTTGCCCCCCTGGCCCGGTGAGTGTCAGGGAGGGGCGTGATTATACCATGCTGCCGCTGTAGCTGTAGTTGTAAACAAAGAAGCATACAACTTTAGCTAGCGTTCCACTCGGCTGCAGGATTTACTCTGCACCGCTGCCTCTCTGGGGGTTTTAGGTTCCTCACTAGCTCTATGGGCTCTCTGCTGACCTGTCTGAGTATTACACTAACACTGTAACCAGTAAGGTGTAATGAAATTGACATTTTAATCTTTATTTAAGACATAATAAAATTTAAAAAATATAGGGACGTCTAATTTTACCCACATTTACAGTAACTTATTCAACTTTTATATATATAACTATTTTAACAATGAACTGTACCCTAGTCACATAATGAACTGTAATATTGTCCCACAGATATTTTAACATTTCTAGTGACACTGTATTTGTATTTGTCTTTTTAAACACATTTATATCACATTTTTTAACCCTTTACATTTCCACCAATTTTCCAACCTAGAAAACTCGTTATGTCTGCCAGAAACATTAATATTGACATCTTATCCAGGTTTAAGCCAGATTTTAATCTTGACACTGCTCCTGTCTTTTTGTTAGTTATGAAGAGGAGGGAATCTCTAAATATTATTTGTCTGAACTGAAAGAATCTGACTGCATCAATGACAATGATGGACGATAACAACATCAATGATCTCATGTCACTCCACAACGTCAACAATCTCTGTCTGTATTTATTATTTTGATCGAGAGACTGAACAGCAGAAAATGACATGATGTGTGAGTAGAGTCTCACTTTTATAAACTAAAAGAGAAGAGTTTGAACTGTCTTTTCAGGCTGTCTCTGTGAGGTCTCCATCAGGATTTTCTGGGACAACTCCTGGCTGCTAAACATTTAATTGCGCCTGATGTCCATTTTTGCATTAAAAACTTCAGATGATGTCTTTGACAGTTTTAGATGAAGACAGAGCATAAAGTTCTGACACTAAACTGGGTTTCTAAAACACTTTAGACTGTAACACTTTAAAGGTTCAGTGTGTAGAATTTAGTGATATCTAATGTGGAAGTTGCATGTTGCAGCTGAACAACCCTCACCTCACCCTCACCTTCCAAACATGAAAAAGAAACTGTGTTGGTTCAGTTGTCATAAAAACTCAAAAGGTGTTTAGTTTGTCCAGTCTGGACTAATGTAAAAAACATGGCGGCCTCCGTAGAGAGGACCCCCTCAATGTAAATATAAAGGGTCTTTTCTGGGGTAAAGAAAACTACAATTCATATAATTTAGTTAAAATGAACTAGTGAAAACATCATGAGGATTATTCTACATTAAATTTCTACCAATAGTTCCCTTCACCTAAATCTTACACACTGGACCTTTAAAAAATACACAATGAACAGATTTGGAAAACATAGCTGTCTCCTGCCTCTCGCTTCATGCTTAACAGACAGGCATAATGAAGGTATTTATCCTCTCATCTATCTCTCAAAAAAGGAAATGGATGTATCCCCGAAAATTTACAGTTTCTGCGTTTAAATCGTTAAAAGCCATTGTGTTTCTGTGGACTAATATCATCTGTCTCTGTCTTTGTCAGATTCTGGGGACAATCTTCTTTCTCTTAGCCAACGTCATGTACCAGCCTCCTCCTGAGTCGCCTCAAAGCAACTGTGAAGACAGCTCCAACAGAGCAGCAGACACGAGCGACCAGCCAATCAAAGACCTGCCTGAAGACGGCGTCATCGTCAACCTGCACACCAGGTTATGACGTCAGACGGGCTCTAACCATTGAGTTGGGATCTGATTGTGTGTGATTTGTGCGGTTGTGTATTTGTACTTTTATCTTTGTGAGGACTCATTTGACATACAGGATATTTTGGGGAGGTCAGAATGTTTGGGATAATTATCAAAACTTCATAGAGCTGTTTGAGGGTTAAGACTTGGTATCAGGTGTAGGATTATATTATATTATAGTGTTTGGATTGGGGAAGGAATTGAGATGTGATGGTTAAGGGTAGGCCAAGAGGCTAGGGAATGTTTGATGTGAATGCATGTCCTCACAAAGACAGAAGTGTTTGTCTGTGTCTACATCCACACAACAACATTTTACAGGATGTAGACTGTATGTGTGTGTGTGTGTTTGTGTGTGTGTGTGTGTGTGTGTGTGGTGATGTGATGCTTCATTTACACCGATAGCCTTTTCTCATCCATAATACCATAATGACACCACCCCCAACATACACACGTGTACATGCACACACACGGAATCAAACGCACCTTAACCATCAACACTTAATGCCTAAATCAGTACAATATCATAAACCTGAACCTAATTCTAACTCTAACCCTAAAACCAAGTCTTAACTCTCAAACAGCCCAATGATAGTAGCCCAGAGAATGAGGACCAGCCAAAATGTCAGGTTCTAGGCTCTAAATGGTCGTCACAGTGATCTACGTACACACACACACTGCTTTGTGTAGCTGTCTTGACTTTGCATTGACCTACATTCATTCACTAACCCTAACCCAAAACTTAACCAAGACCTGTAGAAAGGTTTTACCTTATTGACACTCAGCTTTGGTCCCTATTAGGTCTACACTGCTTTTTCATGTACCAGGAAGCATTTCTACACATATACTGTATACCCAAGCTTTGTTAAATACATTCAAATTGGTTTTGTATAATGTTAGTCTGGTGACATTGATGTTCCTGCTTTGCTATTATGTCATCATCCAATCTAATGAAACATATCTGCCATGATAATGAAGCATTTACCATGTTTTCTTCTGTTACACTGCTTTATTGCTACACACCGATAAAGCCACGGTCTAATATATATTGTGCCAGACCAACAGGCAAGTAATATTGAAGCCAAATAATTTTCCTATCATTTCATATTTCAAGCCAAGAGTATC